ACTAAATATCATAAGATTTTACTTGACTAAATCTACAGTAAATTTAGTCGGCTAAAATCTAATGTATTTAGTTACAGTGCATTTATTAAGCATTTCTCTAAAATTTCCAAACTCATTATATAGGTTTGATATTAAGGTTTTATCATGATAGACACCGATTTAACTGCGGTGATACACAACATACCTTTATGTTCAAATTAAATAAAATAAATAAATAAATAAAACCACTTCTCACAAAGAACAAGAACATGGTCTACTTTTTAATGAAATACCAATGGTTATATAGGCTAATTATGCATTCTTTATAGCAACTTGTTTACCATATTCTTCATTCTTTCAAGCAGACATATTTATTTCTATAAATAAATTTAGAATAATCTTTACGGCTACTAAAGTTTTTCAGTCAAGAGCAGTGAGTGATTTTCTGTCTTTCTGTTGTTGCTTGATTAACATCAATGACTCGGACAATAGCAACTAAATTAGGCTGCTATCTCTTTAAAACCGAATGCACGGGATGCAATGGATGCAATGTACTGATACACGTTCTCCCTACTGTTTACGTTCACTTAAGACGTAATCAACTGTGTTTACGTGAATGCTCGTCAAAACGGACAATTCGACATCATTTTGTGTGTAATTCTCCGTAAATGCGACGCAAAAAAGTACTCGCGCGCGCTGTGAGAGGCGCTTTCTGTGTGTGTGTGCTTCAGTGTCTGCGCTCAGAAAACCGGACCGAATTGAGTTCTCTCTTGCGTCGTCAGATTTATCCATATGTCTGCTCTTCTCTTACTCCCACATATTGACATTTTTGAACGTTTTATGCAACGCGCAGCAAGTGTATTTTAGCTTATGTCCCGCCGGTGTACGCATTCACGGTGTACGCACCGGTGTACACCGGTGTTCATATGTACGCATAGCCTCCGAACCACGCAGCAGATTCGTTCTGAATGAATCTCTTCCCAAATCGTCCCTCCCTAACATTTTCGTCTCTTTTTTATTCGTTGACGAAAATGTCAATAGATTTACGTCATAGTTTTTGTCATTCAAAACGAGTTTTAGTTCGTTATCGTCTCGTTGTCGTCATGTACGCATAGCCTCCGAACCACGCAGCAGATTCGTTCTGAATGAATCTCTTCCCAAATCGTCCCTCCCTAACATTTTCATCTCTTTTTTATTCGTTGACGAAAATGTCAATAGATTTACGTCATAGTTTTTGTCATTCAAAACGAGTTTTAGTTCGTTATCGTCTCTTTGTTGTCAGTGAAAAAAATTAACACTGCATAAATCAAAGGCAAAAACAAAACAATTCAGCCAGATTTCGTCACATATGATGGCCCTTGTGTGTCTAAACATCAATTCTAGCACCAATTTAAGAAACATTTCCAATCAATTCTTCCTTATAATGACCCACTTTACTTGGTAAGTGATTTTACATTATTTTAGCAGCTGACTGTACTTTGTAGGAGCAATGGCATAATCATTAACATGCACAATATTCAGTATATTAAGCATATTGTGATCAGGTTTGTGTCCATTTGAACTTTTATAAAGTGACAGATGAATTTGCATTGAAATACTTTGGTTTTATGCTAAAATACAAGATAATTTAATAGCTGCAGTACGTTTATAAAATTAAGAAGCAAAAGCCGCTTCAATTGTTAAGAACAGGAAATTTAGCGTGAATGTCACCTGATTCACCCTGAATCAACCTGTTCATGTTCTGCTTCCACATCTACTGTAATACACACTACCATTCAAAAGTTTGGGGTCAGTATGATTGTTTTGAAAGAAAGTAATACTTTTATTCATCAAGGATACATTAAATTGATCAAAAGTGACAAGATTTCTATTTCAAATAAATGCTGTTCTTTTGAACTCTCTATTCATCAAAGAATCCTGAAAAATTAATGTATCACCATTTCCACAAAAATATGAAGCAGCACAGCTGTTTTCAACGTTGATAGTAATCAGAAATGTTTCTTGAGCAGCAAATCAGCATATTAGAATGATTTCTGAAGAATCATGTGACACTGAAGACTGGAGTAATGATGCTGAAAATTCAGGTTTGATCACAGGAATAAATTACATTTTGAAATATATTACAATAGCAAACACTTCTTTGAAATCGTAATAATATTTCACAATATTACTGTTTTTCCTGTATTTTGGATCAAATAAATGCAGCCATAATGAACAGAAGAGGCTTCTTTTAAAAACACTAAAAACCTTACAGACCCCAAACTTCTGAATGGCATTCAGTCCTTCAAACATTTAAAGTTAAAAACTAGTCGAATAACAAATAAACTCTATCTGGAGCTCAAATGCCACTATTTTATTTGCAGTGCAAGAAGGCTGTTTAACGTTTGTCTGCACCATTCACCACATCCATGCTTTCTGCAATTTGTTTTTATTCTCTAAACACGAAAGAAAGAATCACAAGTGCTCTTGTAAGTGCAAAAAAAAACAAACATGAAATATGCTTTTTGTTAATACATAAAAAATATTGATAGGAGAGCTATAGGTCAGGGATTCATACCAAATACATCTTCAAAGCGAGACACTTTACCTAAAAGAAAATGCATTACTTCTTTCAAAGAGCACGGAACAATATGAAGTGCAAGGGATCAGAGAGATCTTTAAAGTCAGCCTGTTTTATACAAAACGTCTGTCTATATAGGCAGCATGAGCCTCATGTGTAACTGTTTTGAAATGCTCTACACATGCAGCACTGCTCGCACAAAACACAACTGATTTCAATAGCACATATTGCATTGCAATACTTAAATAAGCATAAAAAATGTTGCACACACAAAAACTGGTTAAAATTACACTGAGAAATGTTTAATCATTACTTTTCAGCACTGGCAGACACATAGTTTGCCTAATCCACCATCTTGGATTTATTCACCAAACCTGTCGCAATGCATTCTGGGATTGCATTCTCTGTGAAGGCTACAATTTGGCTAAAGCAAGGCAGCATACCTTTTAAACGGCCGTTTTGTCGGAAGCACACCTGTGATGCCTGAAAATGCTGTCTATGTAGGCAGCTCCCTAGGTTTTGGAGCTTATCTCTCCAGCAGAAGCTTCCATTACCAGGTCAATGGATGTGTAAACAGTGGCATCAGCTTCCTGTGATCTCTGATAGGACGGTCCAGCGTCAGGCCCCTGTCCTCTTTCTCTCATCTCTATTTGTCTGGTTTCTCTCTTATCGTCTCTCCTCTGCTCTACACTCCTCATCAATCCCACGTTTCACTTGTGAGTGTCGGTCAGCCTCCAGCTGAGTTCTGATTGGCCCGCTGCGGTCAATAGAACCTGAGACCATATGGACCCACACGACCCCAAACACATCCACCAAGCAGAAAAAAGGGGCCACTTTCTACACTTTTGCAAACACTTACTCAACAAAAACAGTAACAGTTTTACATGATCATTTCCAAACAGACCGTTTTTGCTACTGTACCTTTAAGATGTTCATATCTAAATGACCTCATGAGGGCAAACTAAGATACAGTAAAGGTGTTTATATGTAAATGTAGATGGTCATATGTTAATGAGCAAATGATGTCATAAAATATATACTTTAATATAGCGGGATTAAGTGACTAAATCAGTGTTGCTGTTGTTAACTAAACTAAAATTATTAATAATCATTTTCATTAATTGAAGTAAAGCTGAAATCAAAATAAAATATAAATATTAGATGAAAAAAACAACAACGAAAATTAGAAATGTCACCTTGGCAACATTTGCTACTGTACCTTTAAGAAGTCCATATCTAATGAGCTCATGGAAATGATGTCATAAGCATAAAATATATACTTTAATATAGTGGACTAAGTGAAAACAATCAGTGCTGGTATTGTTAAATAAAACTAAAACTAATAAAAATATTTTTTAATAATTGAAGTAAAAATAAAATAAAAATAAAATATAAATATTAGATGAAAAACCTCAATGAAAATTTGAAATGTTACTTTGGCAACTAATAAAAATAAAATTAATTTTCAGTCATAAATTATTATAACTGAAATAAAAATAAAATTAAAACTAGATATATAAAAAAAACTAAAAATGACAAAGCACAAAATGAAAATGAAAATTGTCATAAGCATAAAATATGACAAAATCAGTATTGTTATTGTTATCTAAGGCTATTAAATAAAATATATATACATATACTAAATGAAAAATTTTAACTTAAAATACTTCTATGAAAATTAGAAATGTTGCATTGGCAAATTAATTTAAATAAAATTTGTTGAAAATACTAAAACTGAAACAAAAACAAAGCTAAAAAAGAAATATTAAAAACACCCCAAAAACTAATAAAAATGGCAAAAGCACATACAATTTATGTATAAATGTGGGTGGTCGTACAGTATGTAAAATACCTTATGGTTTAACATCACGATTTCGGAGTCGTTTTGCTATTTAGTTTTATGTTTTGAGATCAGAGTATGTCTACATAGTACATAATAAACCTCAGAAGAGTACAAAAACCCTGTTTTACGTGATATATGACACCTTAAACAGGTTTCTAATTGGCATTAAAAAATCTAATGAATAATATCATGTAAGCTATCTCTTATAGTTGTGTATATAAATGTTCCTGTGAGTCATGTGCAACTGAGCGGTGAATGTATGGTTGTGTGTGTGTGTGTGCACATACAATTAAAATCAAAACTGTCATAAGCATAAAATGTATAGTTTAATATAGTGCACTAAATGACTAAATCAGCTTTGTTATAGTTAACTAAAACTATTAAATTAAAAAAATATATATTAGATAAAAAATGTTAACTTAAAAAACTTGCAAAATTGAACGTAAAAATGTTGCCTTATTAAAATGGGTAGAAGAAAAAAAAAACTGAAATAAAAATTAAAAGCTAAATAGAAATATATATATATATATATATATATATATA